TAATAGAATTAAGGCGACATTAGAGTTCAATCAACCACAGGACCAAGCAGGATTTCGTACAGGCTACTCCACAGTAGACCATATTTCTACTATCATTCGGGTAGTAGAGAAATACGTGGAATCCAACCAACTCCTCAACATAGCTTTCATAGATTACTAAAAGTCGTTTGGCTCAGTCAAGAAATCAGCAGTAATGCAGGCACTACGGAATGAGGGCATCGGCGAACCCGACATAAGCATAATGGAAGAAATATACAGTGGATCCTCAGCCACCATAGTTTTTCACAAAGAAAGCGACAAATTCCCAATAAGAAGAGTCTAAGGCAGTGTTTCGGAACGGCCACTCCGGAATTGGAATGACTCCGGATTCATTCAACATTTTCGCGACGCCGAAATGGGGAAAGCGCGCGGAGGATTGGAATGGGGATGGAATTGGCGCCTTTGGCACGGAATAGAACGGGAATGGAATGACGTCTTTTTTTTTTTTCAAAAATAGAGCACGTTTTCGTCTATGCGCTATTTTCTAACATCAAACATTCGTAACTGAGAGCCTCGATTTAACCACAAAGCAGTATTTTTTAATGGCTTGGCTGATTACAAGGATGTTATATTTATAAGGAGAGCGCCTACTGCACTTCTCACCTTATGCCAGCAGCTCCTGTTTGAGAAACGCTATGCATAGGTAGACGGCAATTGTTTTCTCCGATTTTTTTTTTCCTGTTTGGAACCACCCGTTGAAGTAGCCGTCAGTCAATTTTCGCGTTTTGAAAACTGACCAACGAAGCGCCAATCTAGCTCATATTATATCGTTGTAGAATTTCAAGGAATAAAACTACAATAAAGCTTTTTTTACCATGCACTGCTAGCGACCTTTATTCCAGCATTTAAAAAAGACGAGGGCACCTAGGCACTTTTTATGGCGTAATTATTGCCAAAAAACTACTGACCAATTTGCGGACGTCATGTTGTTGTACCCATATTTTATTTTGAGCTGGTAAAAATAAAATTAAGGTGTACGGCCTTTTTTTTTAAGTTCTGAAAGCTGCTATAGCGACCGCAGCTAACCTAGCTCGGCAGACCAGGCGTTGCTGAGTCTCGAACTGAGAGATGGTCAGCCCGCACGCCCATTGCTCCTGGCTGGGATGATTTCGCTATTGTCACTTTCCTTTTTTACCTTTGCATCTTTTCTTTCCTAGGTCGCTGCAACTTGGCCCGTACCTATGTTCGCATCGTCTACCAAGGAGAGCCTTGAGGAGGAACACATTTTTCTACACCATTATTGCTACTACTTTAATATCGTTACAAGCCGCGATGAATAAGAAGGAATGTTCTATTGAGGTTATAAAGACGACGATTGCAATAGCGCTCGCGTTGTTGTTCGTGTGCCGCCATCTTGGCTGAAGGACTCTCCGTGTACATTGTAAATACGTCTATTTTCTTCTTTCTTAATTTCGGATGCTGAAGCGATGGCGTTAAAGAGCTCGTTTCGCAGAAATACCGGCGTCGGTGTCAGTGGTTGTGAGCGAAAAACCATCATCATGTGCGTGACCGAAAAATCGAAAGAGATGTAAATAAAATAATGAAATTCCACAGACCCCACGTACCTTGGGTATTGTCGTTATGCGAAGCATACGGAGGGAAGGCGAAGATCTTGTTTAATGTATTCATTGAGCGACACGTCATGAAATAACGCTAAATACATGAGTTTCCTTAACACAGGTGCGCATATAAAACTGGGACAGCTTATTGCTCTCCCATAGTAAAGTAGACAGTGCTCTAAATTATCGAACAATTGTTCTAAACAAAATGTTCCACGCAGACATATACGTTGAAGAGTTTCAGATGTTTATATAACCACTTGTTTTACACTTGAACAAAGATGTCAACAGGAACATGTGTATTAGAAACACAAAAAAAAGCCTGTCTGAAGCGCTAGTGCTCGTGAGGATGGTAGCCCTGGACACTGCTACATGAATCAACTTTAGCGGATGACATCTTACTACGAGAATTGACGTCAACTCGACGTGACAGCTGTATCATAGGAGTATATATGCAATGTTTATGAAATTGCATATCCAACTCTGCAAACGTCAGTTGCGCAAACACAACTGACGTTTCATAACCATTGGGGTCGATTTGAAAAGTAGTTCCGAGACCTTGCGCGGCTGTGTGGTAGAATACTTGATTGCCACGCAGAATGCTGGAGTTTGATTCCCGCTGGGACCATGACATTTATTCTTTGCATTCATCGGGTCAACAATACCGATGTCAGGTTTTTCTTAGCGCTTATGCTTTAAAATTGTTCTTGTGTGTTCTCGTCGTTCCTGTACTAAGTCTCAATCACATGTGGCACATACCCGGCCATGTGTCACATATCACATGTGGCACATACCCGAGCAATTGAAAAGAATGGAATTGCGGCATTGTTGAACTTGACCGGAATGGCATTGGAATGGGATAGACGAGCTCAATCCACAACACTGGTGTAAGGCAGGGAGACACGATCTCTCCAATGCTGTTCACCGCATGTTTACATGAGGTTTTGAAGGTCCTAGGATGGAAAGAGATAGGAACAAAAGTTGATGGGGAGTATCTTAGTATATAGCATTCAATTTCTTGATGACATTGCCTTGTTGAATAACGTGGGGGATGAATTACAGCTCATTATTTCTGAACTCAACACGAAAGGAAAAAAGTAGATCTGAAAATATTATGCAGAAAACTAAAGTAATTTCAACAGTCTCGGCAGAAAACAACGTTTTGCAATAGGTGTAAAGACACTGGAAATTGTTGAGGAATATGTCTACTTAGGACAGGTAGTAACCGAGGAGCCGAACCTTGAGAGTGAAATAAGTATAAAAATAAGAATGGAGTGAGTCTCATTCTGTCAGCATTCTCTAATCATGATTGTTAATCTGCCACTAACCCGCAAGAAGAAGGTGTATAACAGCTGCATCTTGCCGGTACCTACCTACAGAGCAGAAGCCTGGGGGCTTACAAAGAAGGTTAAGCTTAAATTGAGGACGACGCAGCGAGCGATGAAAAGGAAAATAATAGGTGTAACCTTAAGAGAGAAGAAGAGAGCAGAGTGGGTCAGGGAACAAACCGGGGTTAAGGATATCGTAGTTGAAATCAAGAAAAATAAATGGACATGGGCCGGACACGTAGCACGTAGGCAGGATAAGGGTTGGTCATTAAGGGTAACCGACTGAATTCCCACGGCAGGCAAGAGCACGAAGGGGAGACAAAAACTTTGGTGGACCGATGAGATTAAAAATTAAGACGTTCGCAGATATAACGTGGCAGCAGAAAGTACAAGACCAGTTTGATTTGCGGATCACGGGAGAAGCCTTTGCCCTGCAATGGGAATAATCAGGCTGATGGAGAGGATTTTAAAAATACGGTTTCACCATGCGCATGTTATCAAACTAGAGGTAATCTAGTTAACCTCCTTCTTACCTAATATTCCTTCTCTCTTTACCATTTCAGGTATATTGCATCATCATCACCATAATCATCATCATCATCATACTGAATTCGCTCACTGCAGGGCAAAGGCCTCTCCCATGATCCCACAGTCAACCCGGTCTTGAGCTTTCCGGGCCCACCTAACTTTTCTGCTTTCTGTGTCCAGTTCAGTAATCATGAGGCATAATTCGTCCTCTGTGTTGCTATGTCTTCTGAAATACCTGAAGACTTTAGCATGATGAATTATATACCAACACATTCGCTCTGAGAGCATGCATTGCGGCCATCTACTTAAATTCAAAATAAATAACGGGGGAAAAAGCTACAGACTTGAGGTTTTTATCTGGTGGCGTTACGTCTTATACGGTGCGCATGCGCAGTTACCACTCGGAAGCCTTTTAAAGCAAGAAAAGTAGCAACTTTTAGCAACTGCTTGTTCAACTGTTACAGTATTTCAAAATGTCGAATGTGTTTGGAAGCATCCAATACGAGACGGAATTAATGGTCGATACTCAATATTTAGAGCTTGCGCATACAGGTACCTTATCAAACAATACATGCACGAAAAAACGCCGACAGCATCTCCAGTTGCACACGTAAATACAAAGGCTTGTTTTTCCCATTGAATCATTTGCTATTGCAAAAAAAAAAATAATAAGCGGAGCACTGAATCAGGTAATGCCATTCTGGCCGATAATGATAGCATTACGAACGTCGTCACATAGAATATTGGCAATAATATTTTTTGATCATATAAACGCCGTATTATTCCATCACTTGCATTAACTTTTACCAACGTAAAAGTTCCACATAAATTGCCCGTTCAGCGTAAGTTTCGCAGTTCTAAATCAATGAAGCTTGTATTGAATATAGGTATTTATTTTCATGAAAGTCATCAGGATTCTTGCTCAGGTCAACGGTACTGGTGCACAATGAGAAAGCAATCAACACTGTGCGAAGGCTTCAGTGTCTCGTTGCTAAAGATAGTCGTAAAAATGGCATCAATCTACAGCAACCACACTTTGATTGCTATGGAATGAAAGAATGTCAATTTAATCCTACGTACGTACATCCTATAAAAACCGGCTTTGGTCAAAATGGTTCAGCGATATACGCACGGAGTATTATGTTTTTTTTTTGTTGAGGAGAAAAGGGGAGGATTCACAAAGCAATGTAGCAAATCAGACATGATAAGACCACCTAGTAGTAGTTGCTATGTCCCGATGCTGTAAAAAACGCACTGTTTGGATAAGAGGTTGTGTGCAGTTAACGCTAAGATTATCATTTCATTAAACGCATAAAATTTGCCTCTTTATGAGTCTGAAGACGATTGCCCGATATCCACTCGATATCGCAGAGCCATTGTTTTGTTGATGTCAACCGCCAGAAAAAACAAGTGCAAATTATCAACGGGGCGGTGAATTTATACAGAACAAGCAAAATAACGCGCGACGCTGATGCTGCAGTCGACGTTGTTTTGTTTCATTCTGATAAGACGCCAAATAAAGCATGAACCATTGGCCCCATCGAGCAGTAGTAGCGGCCCTTGATGCGGAGTTTCCGCCACAATGTCCACCCCGATGTCGTCCCAGGCCACGCTCCTGTTACTTTGCACGCTGATCAGCGGTTCTCTTGGACAGCTGAGGTGAGTAGTTTGCGCGTGCCACAATGCGGGCATCAACCGAGTTGTTCTACGAGTTGTTCTTTTATTGCTCTGCAAAAAGCTTAAAGGTATCGCCTTCTATCGTACTTCCAAAATTGTTAACACTCTACAATGTATAAATTGTAATAGGCATAATTTCGAACAGAGCTCCCACGCTGTTCGCAGGGAGCAAAACGGCCGACTGAAGTTTGAAGAGTGAAAAAAAAAAATGCGTCGGAATAAAAATTAAGTTCGAGAGAAAATAAACGTCCTCATTTCGAAAATAGGACAGGCGTCTTTTGTCCAGGGTGCCTTGATCTCGGGCAGAGTCCTGCGTCCTCGTGACCATGGTCTTATCTTATCCTCAAGGTTGGAGCTGCCCCAAGATATCTTCCAAATGTCGTTGCCGTGGTGTATATAGATGCGTATGCATATACGGTGAGCGACGCCGACGCCCACGTCAGCGCCGGCGGCAAAATCCAGCCGAGAGTGTCCATATCATTGCTATCGCAATAATAATTATATGCAAACGATCAAAACACATATCTATTTCTATCTGCCGGCAATCGTGCGTTGGTAGGTGCAGCCTGATCCATCATCGCATTGTGCACCCTAGACGCACAGTGCCTCAACTGACAATCACATGACGCGACAAAGTGGTGCAGTCATGCCACAGCCTCAAGCAAATGAAGTTTGTATTGCTTGCTGCTTAACATTGGTAAATGAAGCCTAAGCCATACCAGCACACTACTAATAAATCATTGTGACGTGTCTCTGATATGTTAGCCCATACATTCATCAGTTAAGTTAAAACAAATATGCACCACCCTTCTAAACTGCCAGCACTGCTGTGAGGAGCGTGTGATACACGGAAATGCGTGATTTGTTTTTCGGGTGTGCGCTAACGAAACTCGGCCGGCGAAAACTATTTCGAAGCCTACAACTGCGCCTCTCAAAGCATAATGGGAGGGAGCGAAGCATGGCGTACAAAGGCAGAAAGGAGGAGATATTCAATGAAAAAGAAAGAAAGAAAAAGAAAGAAAACAAAAAGGGTAAAAAAGAAGCAAGAGAAAAAAGAAAAAAGAAAGAAAAGAAAAAGTAAGAAAGAAAGGAAGAAAGAAAGAAAAGAAAAAAGAAAGGAAGAAAAGAAAGAAAGCAAGAAACATAACAAAGAAAAAAAAGAAATAAACATAAGACAGAAAAGAAAAAGAAAGAAAAGAAAAAGAAAAAGAAAGTAGAAAGAAAAAAAGAAAGAAAGAAAGAAAGAAAAAAGAAAGAAAGAAAGAAAGAAACGAAAAAAAGAAAGAAAGAAAGAAAGAAAGAAAGAAAGAAAGAAAGAAAGAAACTGAGACGAAAAGTACGTGGACCGAAAACACAGAGATGATTAAAAAGGATAGAAAGAGAAGAATAAAGAAACTTAAAATTGGCAGAACTTAAATTGGCAAATTGCCCGTCAGCTCCGCTGTCTCTTTAGCAATGCGCCATCGGTGTAAGCTACGGTAATTATTTTTTATTTGCATGTACCGCCATCTTACACAGTAAGATGGCAGTATAGGCCATATATTGCTAGAGCTACTGTATACGGCTTCTGTGGGAGTATGCAATAACTCTAATATTGCAGAAGTGAGTACTTTTTTCCTGCTTCCCATTCCAAGTTTCCACATTCAAACATCTCAACCCCGTTATAAAGTGTCTAAAAAATTAACCAGCTTCGTATAGCCGTTGAAAGAATATTTACCATTGCAAAAGTGGCGAACACAGCTGACAGCACACTCCACAAAGGTTGTGGGCACAGGGAATAAATATCACGTTGAGCAACATAATACTTCAATATATATATATATATATATATATATATATATATATATATATATATATAGTGGAAGTAATAATTCAATGGGCCAGTTAGTCTTCGTGAAGGCATGGGATATGGCACAACGGGAGCGTTGTCAACAAGGATAAGTATATTTATTTCCCAACAGTTTCGGGAGGGGTCCTCCCTTCATCAGGGGATGAGTTATACTGACATGAGCCTCCAAACTTCGTTGCTGCCGCGTTCCTCTCGCCTTGAAAGACGTTTGCGAGAGTGAGAGGGAACTAGAAAAAGGAAAAAAACAAAAAAGGGGGAGAAAAAAGACGAAAAAAAGAAAGAAAAGGAAGAAAGTAAAAAAGAGGAAGAACCACTGTCAACACTGAGAACGAAGCCGTCTACATCCACATACGGTTCATATCCCGTGCTGTTCAGTTCTGTTCAGAAACGGCTTTCCCCGTAATGGGTCGTTCAGCGGGCGGCGGGCGGCGTCCGTAAAGGAAAGGTTTCTCGTTAATGGGTCGGTCGGCTATTTACCTTTAATCTTCGTCCGTTTCCCTTCAATGGTCATGAAGTGGTAGGCGAACGTAAACACTTTGTATGTGCATGTGGAAAAAAAAAGAAAGACAAGAAAGGACAGTGTACACGTACGAGTCAGTCAGAAAAAAGCATGGTCTCCAGCTATCAATCTTTGTCACCAATTTTCTCCTGGCTTACTTCTCGGAGGCAGTTGAGTTTTCCGGGGTCCTCGTTGATGCCGGCTACTAATGTACGAAATTTGAAAATAAAATATGCCTCACGCTGTTCGCGCTCGCGTCTGTTTGAGAAACCGGACTGCAAAAGAGTTGCGCTGATATTTTTCAAAACTGTGGTTTGGCAGGCGCAGATGTCTAGATAAAGGTAGCTTCGGCAGTGAGGTGGCGTGGTACCGGTGATTATTGAACCGCAGCCGAAATGGCGTGTCTGTTTGGCCGATATATTCTTGTCCGCCGATGTTGCAATGTAGCATGTATATTACGTTACTGGAGTCACAATTAAGGCTTTCAGTTATGCAGAATTTTGAAATCCGAGAAGTTCGCTTTGGATTCACGTGTTGTGACCATCTGTGGGCATACCTTGCATCGAGCTTTTCCGCAGGAATGGCACCCTGATTGAATTTTGGGGGTGTTTGTTTTTGCTCTGACAAGAATGTCCTTCAGATTTTTATCCCGGTGGTACACCACGTGAGGTGGCTTCGCGAAAATAGAAGTTACTCGTTTGCTTTGCCTGATTATGTTGAAATGGCGGGAAAGTATGTTGTTGATTCGTGGCGCTGATGAGGAGTAAGTTAGTACAAGGTTCGTTTGGGAAGTCGTTTTAGATACTCTGTTTGGTCCCTTAATTATATCATTCCTGTTCACGTTGCGAGCACGTAGTATGGCATCGTCAATAATGTCTTCCGGATAATTTTGTTTCAATAAGGAATGCTTTAGGTGTTCCGCGTGTCCGTCAAATTCCCGCATATCGGTGCATATTCTTCGGTACCGGTAGGCCTGAGAATATGGAATACTCGTTTTGCAATGCTTTGGGTGGCTGCTGTTGAAATGTAGGTACATTTGACGGTCTGTAGGCTTTTTGTAAAGGTCTGTTGACAAGCGGTCATTTTCGACCGTGACAGTGACGTCCAAAAAGTTAATGCTAGTTTTGGAAATTTTGTGCGTAAATTTTATTGACGGGTGGCATTTGTTAAAATCCTCTATGAAGCGGAAGAGACTTCCCTCATCATGGTTCTATATCATAAAAAGATCGTCTAAGTATCTTCTTCCTTTTCTTTCTTTTTTTCGTCTTTTTTCTCCCCCTTTTTTGTTTTTTTCCTTTTTCTAGTTCCCTCTCACTCTCGCAAACGTCTTTCAAGGCGAGAGGGACGCGGCAGCAACGAAGTTTGGAAGCTCATGTCAGTATAACTCATCCCCTGATGAAGGGAGGACCCCTCCCGAAACTGTTGGGAAATAATATATTTATCCTTGTTGACAACGCTCCCCCGTTGTGCCATATCCCATACCTATATATATATATATATATATATATATATATATATATATATATATATATATATATATATATATATATATATATATATATATATATATATATATATATATATATATATATATATATATATATTGTCATAGCTATGCGAAATGATTCCGTTGTACAGGAACATATATATATATATATATATATATATATATATATATATATATATATATATATATATATATATATATATATATATATATATATATATATATATATATATATATATATTGTAATAGCTATGCGAAATGATTCCGTGTTACAGGAACATAGATACGCAATCTCACTCATCGGTCGACTCGCTCAGGCTCAGACTGAGCCATGAGTTCGAGTGAGTCCAAGGAAGTGATGTTCGGTTGAAAAAATTGTAGTAAACCTGAGTTCGAGTGATTCCGCGCCAAGAAATTTTCGGTGAGTGTGTGTGAGAGTTAGTTCGAAAGGAAAATATATTTCATGAGTGAGTTCCATATTTTTTGCTGACCGATGTACAGGAACTTGAAAATGTTTTTTTTTTCTACAGCAAGAGCATTTATTCATTTCGTATTCTTTGCAGCATCCAACTGGGATTGAATTTGCGCAATGTCACCGAGCTCAAGCTTGCACGAGCACCTGGCGACCCCATTCCTGTGGTCCTGAACAATTACCAGAACGTAAGACTTTCATACGAACAAAGTCGCTAACGGCAGGGTCAGTTACGAAGCCACGCAATTATGTCTCATTTCATTCAAGACATCTAGTATATTCTTGAAACAAACTTTGTACAAAGAAATCTCCAAATTTTGATTACAACAATCGTGCCTCGCTCTCAATGTAAAGTCAATCTATCGTGATGAAAATATTTCATGACATCATCAGTGTTGCAGTACCATAACAGACTGGTAAGCTTGTAACTTGCCCGTAAGCCTTTCGTTGCACTGAAATCAAAGAGCACCGTAAGACCTGATTGTGAATCGATGCTGGGCTTCTCATATGAATATACGCAAATGTATAATGTTTCACAATTTCTGCGCTCGCACAAGCATGTTTCCTAAATTGTCCAAGTCATGAGATGCCTACTGTATTGAATGAGCTGCTGCAGCAGCTCACTTTCTTTTTATGCCTATCATCATCATCGTCATCAGCATCGTAATCAGCAGCAGGAGCAGCCTGACTACGCCCACTGCAGGACAAAGGCTTCATTCTCCAAGGTTCCGCCAGTCCACTTGCTCCTGTGCTTGCAACTACCATTGTACACCAGCAAACTTCCTATTGCCATCTGCCCACCTAACTTCCTGTCTCCCCCTCATACCCTTGCCTTTTCTGGGAATCCAGTCAGCTACCCTTAATGAGAAACCATTATCCTGCCTATGCGCTACGTGCCTGGCCCACGTCTATTTATTCTTCTAGATTTCAACTATATATGATATACTTAAACCCGGTTTGTTCCCAGAGCCACTTTGCTCTCGTTTTGTCTCTGAGAACTACATCTATCATTTTCCTTTCCGTCCCTCGCTGAGTCATCCTCACCTTAAACTGAATCCTCTTTGTAAGCCTCCAGGTTTCCACTCTGTAGGTAAGTACAGGCAAGATGCAGTTGTTATATACCTTCCACTTGAGGGATAGTGCCAGTCTACGAGTCATTATTCGAGAACCGTGCTCGCCGAACGCGCTCCACCCCATTCTTCTAGTTTCTTCAGTCTCATGGTTCGGCTCCACGGTACTACCTGTCCTATAGGTAGACGTTCTCTTTTACAACTTCAAGTGTACGGCTACCTATCTCGAAGCGCTGTCCTCTTCCGAGGTTGTTGTGCAGTTACTTTCGTTTTCTGTAGATCAACTTTAGGACCTACATTATCTGCTCTCCTTGTCTAATTCAGTATTCAGGAGTTGCTATTCGCCCCCTTGGTTACTCAGCAACGCAATTTTATCGGTGAAGCGCAGGTTACTAAGGTACTCTCCATTAACTCTTATCCCTACTTTCCATTCTAGGCCTCATTCATTCATACATAAATCACGTGATAAAATGCTCAGGATACACCCAACCTATATACAAAGCCTTTATAGATTACGAGAAGGCATATGATTCAGTAGAGATATCAGCTATCACGCAGACACTGCGGAATCAGGGTGTGGACGAAACATATATAAACATCCTGGAAGAAATCTACAGTGGATCAACTGCCACCATAGTGTACCATAAATGAAGCCACAGCATACCAATAAAGAAGGGTGTAAGACAAGGAGATACAATATCCCCAATGCTATTTACTGCGTGCTTATGCCTATATTATATACTAACGACACAACCTTGTACCGTTGCTCGAGGGCCCTAACGTCTTACTGCTCTTTGCTTAGGTAAACACAGCAGCTCTTAGCAAGTGACCAGAAATACCTTTTATGTTCCAACCACCTATATCAAGTCGTGCATCAAATCAATTCGTTTCCCCTTCTTTTACTACACGCACAGTTTATGATCAGAAAATTCTCGCTCGAACAATGCAAGAAACTTCAACTGAATATAGTCACCGTAGTCGATCCGCGCCGACTGCATAGCATGTTCAAATTCTTCTCATCATCTCACTCGAATTACTACGCGCTACATTATAACGCCATTGTCAAAGCGAATCGATTTTTGTAATCTAAACGCAATTTCGCTTGAAGACAGCCGTTACTATCTGGGAATCCACCAGTTGAACGTGTCCGTTGGTTTAGCCTCCCGAAATTCGCAGCATACCACTTGGAGGTGTCCCTGGGCTGACGTACGTGCAACGATGTGCAGCAGCTGGAGGAAGGCACTCATGCATGCTTCTTCGGAAAACTCTAAACAATATGTGGCAGTTCGACGGAACTCTTGAGTGGATCAACAATTAAGAAGTAGAAAGTAAGCTTATCATTAGATCGTCACGAGTCTTAAATAATGACAGTCTCTGCGTCTATACAGCTTTATTGACAAGTATAGCGAGCTACAGGTTGCTGTTTACTGTTATTAAACACCAGGGAATCAAAATGCCACATCAATGAGGACTTCCTTCTTTCTTAACTTTCCCAAACAGATGCAGTACTACGGAGTGCTGACTATCGGCACTCCTCCTCAAACCTTCAAGCTCTTCATGGACACGGGATCCAGCAACTTCTGGGTGCCGTCGGCAAAATGCGATGAAAGCATGGCCTGCCGTAAGTATATGCGCTGGTCATCTATATAACATCGTGTGTATTCATATTTAGCATCAGTTATGTACGAAGCAAAGGACGATGTCAGGCGTTCTTATTTGTACTTGCATGTTCACAGGTGACCACGCAAAGTACGATAGCACCAAGTCCAGCACGTACACCAAAAACGGACGGTCTATCCGGATTCGCTACAGTGGTGGCATCGTTCGGGGTATTACTAGCATTGACAACGTGGGCATCGGGCCGGCCACAGTTCAGCAGTACAAGTTCGCCGAGATGGATCACTCGGACGGCAAGCTGTTCAAGAACGCCAAGTACGACGGCATCTTCGGCTTGGCCTTCCCGAGTATCTCACAAAACAACCAGCTGCCACTGTTCGACGCAATGGTGAAACAGGGCGTTGTTCGACAAGCCGTGTTCTCGCTTCACCTGAGCAAGCAGCCCAGCGAGCAAAATGGCGGAGAAATCTATTTCGGAGGCATCAACACAAGACGCTACACGGGCGACGTACATTATGTTGCCGTCAACAAGGCCGGTCACTGGCAGATCACCATGGACAAGTCAGTTGTCTTTCCAACTATTTCAGTAGCAAATACGGTCGGGACGAGTGGGCCAGCGGTGCAGTATGCTTTTGTTGGCAGAGCTGGGACTCACGGCTTCCGGTCAAGTTTGCATATTCTAGAAAATGGGTTCTGTTGTCCCTAGTATAAATGTTGGCGCCTTTTTTACATCGTAGGGGGTACTGACGTTTTATTTTCGTACCACAAACGTGTGACTTCAATAGATAACAGCATAGTTGGAATGCTCGATGGATGAGTGGGGAGAAATTATTACTACCCAATTGCGACTGAGTGGTTCGGGACTTGATTAGGCTGGCATCAAGCCACAAGCACGCCGTATAGAGCAGGAATGGCACATTGCAGGCACATATCCGAAATAGCATAACTAGAAATTGCATCACTGCTCGAACCTACCTAAAATATCGCCATGCGTATTAATGCGGTAACCTTCGCTCAGCGCACAAGACGACTTGCAGGGAAGGTTCTCTTTCATCAGACCCAAAAAACTTACGAATATAATTTAGTCAATAGATGAAGCTAATTAGGTGCGACGTGTTCCCTTTCCGCGCTTTCCTTATGCACTATGAATTGCTTCCAACCTCTGTTCCGACAGCGTGGACGTCAAAGGCACGAAGCTCTGCATTGGCGGCTGCAATGCCGTCGTCGATTCCGGGACATCATTCGTCAGCGGGCCCCAAAAAGACGTGGAAACTCTTCACAAAGTTATCGGTGCCAAGCACACGGGTCCTGGATATGTAAGTATCAAGTATTTGCTTCATCTAGCCTCTATAAGTTCGTTCTGTATAACCCTCCTGTGATCTAAATAGCTGCGAACCTGATGTCCGGAACCCATCCACACGAACACCGCATACTTTCGCGCTAGTTAAAACGGCCTCCTGGACGTTGATTTACCATAGATGTGCAGGATTCTACATTGAGGGGAAAATGCGAGTTGCGCAGTTGTGTATAAAGGCGAGGGGGCACGTTTCACTGCTGCGCCCTCCACTGAAGGGAAATGAGCCCCAAGATAGAGGATACAAGAAGGAAAATCATAGATGGCATGTTTCTCACAAAAGCCTGCAAGTTGGTCTCCGGTTTGCCGGAATAAATTAGGAAGTAAACATTTCTTACAGAAGCATATGTAAAAACATCGACTGATGACCACGTTACGTACCTGAACTGCAATGTTACAAAAAAAAAAGACTTTGGATTCATTTGTCTCCTTGCGACAATGCGAAACGAGTCAGTCATTCTGCCACAATAAGCGAGAACTTTAAGATAATCGTGATTAACAAGCTCTGAAAGTAGGAATCATGATTCCATAGGTTGTTTATCCCGATTATAGTATGTCAACATTCTACAGAGAGCTTTGTATGTTTGACCTTCGCATATTGGTAATTTACCGTCTCGATGCTTTTAACTATTCTAGTATGAGGTAGACTGCAACGAGATTTCAAAGCTGCCACCAATCACCTTCAATCTGAATGGGAAGGCCTTTCCGCTCAAAGGAGAAGACTACACTATCAAGGTAAGCAGGCATCCATCTTAATTCTTCATCAAAAACTCGATTAACTTGAAGCCCCTAACGTGCCTTACTAAAACTCAATGGAAGAAATTAGGCCCTTTACTACCACATCTTCCGGCCGTTCTAGCATGCTGTTCTTTCTTTCCAGATCCCAGTGCAAGGTGGCGTGCAATGCTTCACCAGAATCTCAGAGGAGGAAAGATCAGAACTCTGGATCCTCGGTGCCTTATTCACGCAGAGTTACTACACCGTGTTCGACAGGAGCCAAAATCGCGTCGGTTTTGCCACTGCGGTCTAGTGGCTCGTCTTCCTTCATGCCTTCAGCCATGGCATGAAGCGTCGCTGTACAGCATGCTTGAAGAAATATGAGTCATCAACCAATAAAAATGTCGTCTTGTAGGCTAACAAGTTGTACTGTTGTCTGTAGATACGGGTCTCATAAGGAAGGAAAATAGGAGGAAAAGAACGGTAGGGAGGTTAACCAGCCTATAGGCAGCCGGTTTGCTACCCTGCGCATGGGAGGGGGATGGGCAAGATGAAAGATAGAGAGCAGAGATGGAACGAGTCTCATAAGTCGCCAACTAGGTCTATGCGTTTGCATGGGTGCGATCGATTGCGTTGGGCGATCGACTTCACTGGGCTGTAACTTCGTTGTGACGCAGTGCGCAAAGGTTAAGAATTGACCATGCTACGACCCGACTGATTCCTCTTTACGTAAGGTGAAGCGCGTACCAGGGCTGGGCAGAGATACTTCGAAATTGTAACACAATACAATACATATACTCGGCAAAGAATTACTTGAAATACACATAAAATATGCTTTCGGAATTATTGTATCTAGTATAATTCGCGATGGTCTTTTAAGACACTTAGATACATTTGCGAATTTGCTATCATTGATCTTGAAATTGCTATTATTGAACTTGAAAATTTTTAACTGTGACTAACTTTGTTCAATTTCAATGACCTATCTATTCGTATTCCCGAAGCTCCATCTTTTCTCACTGAAAGCATATTAGTTCCCTTCCGAAACCACTTAATAATTTTTTTCGGCTGCTCAGCATGACTGCTTTTTATACGCTTGGCTGTCAGTGGTATTTGCTTGACCCTATTGTGACTGGCGGGTGTCGCTGTTGAACTTGGTGACTAGCAAGCGGGTTGTCATCCGCTTGCAAGGTGTCAACTAAGAAGCCTTAGCACGATGAAACAAATACCGCTTAGCAGTCTTACCTTGTGCGCAATGAATAGTACCGTTCTCATAGTACCGCATCACCCGACAAGTGAGGAACATCAACAACGCTGGTAGCGTATTTGTTGCGACGCATCGTGTGAAGAGATTAGCTACACAGTGAGCGCTCAGACGTGACTGAGGACGTAAAAATGCAATGTTTTTTTCGTATCTCACTTATATGCTGGCGTAAAGCATTCGTTAGAACATTTCTCTTAAGTGCAGTCTTCTGTCATTTTTTTTTCTCGAGACAACTTGTGTCAACTAAAAACGTCTCAGACGTATTGTAATGGCCCAAAACGTGCAGGATATACTTGCTGTTCACAATATTGCCAGTTCTATCTCTGCTTATTTTCCGATTTGCAAGAGAAAAACCACCAGAACTGCGCGGAACGCACTGCATTGTCACAGCGAAAGCTGGAAGAGCAGCCTTTCAGAGTCTTTTTTGTAGAGTATTCACTACGCCATTAATCATTGTAAAGTATAGGCAGGCATTTACTGTCACTTCTCTTAAAGAACCCCAGGTGGTCTAAATTTCCGGAGCCCTCCACTACGGCGTCTCTCATAATCATAGCGTGGTTTTGGGACGTTAAACCCCACAAATCAAATCAATACTGTCACTTCTCGGAGAAGCGTGGTTCTCGCTGCACACTTGCGAGGAACTTCGCGAAAAATATTTTTTTGCTGTGGCTGACGATGATAAAGAATTATGCCAGAAAATTTTCTAATCGCCACAGTTTCCCACAGTGGGTATGCGTGCCAGTTTATAGGTGAACAAGATCAAGCTTTTGTAAACGATTGGAGCCTTCGACGGTCCACTTGTTGCGCAATTCACATCATCTGACACCTGGTTGCTGCTTCGCTGTTCTATAAGCGCTTTACTATTCATACTACCGCAATGCAGCTGGTGGAGAGGGCTGTCGACGCGGCGAATGCCTATGGTTTCCTGAAAGAGAGAGACCACCTCGAAGACGACACTTAAAGAATAACAAAATAAAGATGTTTGTTTCTCTCTCCTTTCCCGACATCAAGCCTTAGTATCTGTCAAACAAGTTATGTGATGCCAACTGCTGCGCGGTAACGATTGGCACTTCATGTTTGCTGCGATGTACCTTCTATTGACGATTCATAGTTGGTAGCTCAATTGGCCATGGCGGGTAGTTTTGGTCCAGTGGCCAATGTGTCGACACAGGAAGCCGGGAAATTTACTGTTGGTACACATGGTGTATTTGCGCTCCGGCGCTGTTCACGATGTTTCCTATGAGCGGATGCGAAAAGTGTTGCGTGACTATAGACGAAAGAGGTGCCGACAGGTCTCCACATTTCCAATTACTATAAAGATGGGTTCTCTTGCCTCTGCCAGTATCAGAGAACTTGATGTTGCCTGTGGAAACTTCCGACATATGCGTAAGCTTCGTGCTTTTAACAGCTGAAGTCGGTGAAGGGACGTCTGAGAGATGTTGTGGAGTACTGGCGCGCAGTTGGCAGTTTTCTGTCGGATTAGTGCCCAATGGTCGTGGAGTAGAGACGCTAATGTACCGCCCCATTGTGTTCCCGCTATGCGACGTATAACAATTATGGTGCATTTAAATCACTTGATTTTTTATATCAGCAATATGCCGACTCCATCTGAGTTGACTGTCTATGGTAGCCCAAAGGAAGTGATGCTTTCGTGCGATTTCATTTCTCTGGCCATGCACAACATGTTTAAAAAATTTTTCACTGTCTTTCTCGAACACGGCAAAACTACCAATTTGGCTTGAGAAATCTACATGCCTCACTCTTTGAGGTAGTCACTTATTGCATTTAGTCCTGGCTGAAGCCGATGTTAAATCACTTCCAGTGATTTGTTGCTTGATATTTGGGTCCCACCCACCGCGGGGGGATCGGCCGTGTAACCAGCAGCTATAAGCAAAATTGTTAGCTTTGATAGCGCCACTCATTCTTCGTGCTGCAAAACAACAAGTGAGACATACAAGCTTTGTTGAAGAATGTTTTTTTAAGCTCATTGACAGTGATCCAGTGGTAATAATATATATATATATATATATATATATATATATATATATATATATATATATATATATATATATATATATATATATATATATATATATATATATTGTTACGAATAAATATAGCACCTGGTACTATATAAACTCTTTATTTAGGGCGAACTTGTGCCCGTAAACTCAAAGCTAAAAATGGTGAGCCAAAAATGTCTCTTGCTCACTGACTCCAACTTCGTCGGTCTCTTCCTCTGCCCCTTGAGTCTCGTGCCGACCCGTGGCGTAGCATCGTGGCGCGTGTAAGATGGCGTTCCATGGCGCGGCTTTCTTGCTACTTGCTTGGCGGCTTTAACGAACGCGAATTGTGGCACGCGTCTTCTGCGATGGTCGAGCTGTGGCATTATATATATATATATATATATATATATATATATATATATATATATATATATATATAATATATATATATATATATATATATATATATATATATATATATATATATATGTATGTATGACTCCTGCCCACGGCAAGTTATCTTTTGCCCCACTTTTCTTTCTTGACATTATTGTCTGTTAGATTTAATTATTATTGCGTCAAAAACACGGAAAAACGCGCCCTTAAGTATACACCTCTTATATATATATATATATATATATATATATATATATATATATATATATATGTGTGTGTGTGTGTTGTGTGTGTGTGTGTGTGTGTGTGTGTGGTGTGTGTGTGTGTGTGTGTGTGTGTGTGTGTGTGTGTGTGTGTGTGTGTGTGGTGTGTGTGGTGTGTGTGTGTGTGTGTGTGTGTGTGTGTTCTAGTTCAGGCAGACTTGGTGCCACCAGGTAGTATACGAGAGATTATTGGTCAGCTGCCCTCCAGCTCCTATTAAGTTCACTAGCTAAATCACACCATACAGGCAGATAAAGAGTGTTCCACACTCGCCGACATGGCTACTGGCGGCGCTGGCTGATGCTCCTACGTTTAATGCAGCACGTAAAGCGGGCGAAGAGGTAGCTCAGTTGGTAGAGCATCAGACTCGTTATTCGAAGTTCGGTCCCTACCCACGGCAACTTATCTATCCTTGCACTTTTCTTTCACAGTTTCTTTACAATTACTTCTAATAACATATTCTATAGTTTTCTTGGCCTGATTGCCCCTTGGATCTTATTAAAACTCGTATAAACATAATACATGTAGAGGCACCCTAAAGAGCTATCGTAGCAGAGCATGATCTATGATCAAATGAGATGTGGTCTGACAACAGAATGTCAGTGCCTCTGGAAAGTAGCATAAGAGAGTTTGTGCAGGAACGTTCATGGAAAAAATGGAGTTCTTGATATTGTGCTTCTCTAATTACCACCTAATGCGTTTGAGATTTTTTTTCTAATAGTTTCCAATATTTTAAAGACAAACTCGATTTCGCCGTTTTACCGAATGGTAAGCAGAATTTCAGTTGTATACTCTAGGCACGCTCCGACTGTTATACCTTCGTCCTCTTAATTCCCTTGGCCTTATAGCAAACTCGCATTAATGCTGATAACTGCGCTCTAGGCTGAATATATGGAATCATTTATCTGGGGCTTACTACCGTGAAAACTATAACTAACCTTTCAGACACTAATGCTACCTTAATTTGCACTACGCAGATGCTGTTTTCGACACCTGCCAATGTAACAGTGCTAAAACGCCCGAATTTGTACAAAACTATGTCATTTCATCTTTTTAGGGTATATCACACCAGTCAAGTGCAACCGAACTTAAATCTCGTGCTGAACTTCTTCATAAGACCAGCGCATGGCTCTTTCGTGCCTGCTTCCCAAGCTTTATCACGCATCACCTCATACTCCGGTGAACGCCTGTTTCAAGTGCGGTTTTAACTGCGAAGTACGCCGCTGATCCAAGTGAGGCAGTGTCGAAAACATCAGTGCGATTCCCTCATCTCAAACGTGTATCTGAGGTCTTGAGCCGCGGTTATCTCACGTCGCCTGCGTACGCCTCTTGAATCCCGGCATTTCAGTGTACAAGCGCCCAGTAATGGATATTCAAATGTGGTCAATCGTATACGAGCTTGTTCATTCTGATGGCTTGAACACATGGATGATTTTTAAACACACAGGCTAAGATGAATACAAAAGGCACGCTTTATTATTCGTGGTGGGAGTGTT